ACATGATGGCGCTATGTTGGCCCCCAACAAATCAGATTTCAGCAAATCAATCACCTTTTACCTCACACACATATAGGTATATTTCATATTAATCATATGACCTATATTTCCCATACTAAATATAAAACATACAGAGCAGCATAACTTGGCAACAACCCATCCAAGGTTCGTGTCAAGAAGGCCTCTAGAGACCCATCCATTCCTAAGGGGGAAATTTAGTGAATATTTTTCCATATTTTCAAAACTACAAAGCAGATCAGCAGTAAAAGCATCACTATAGAAAGCTAGGTATCACTTGGTACTTTCCACTGTGTAAAAAATTATGTGTTTTGTGCAGTTTTTCCTCGAAAAAACACAGAAATACCATATCCATTTGATGTTACCTTATCACCTGTTGCCAGCTATTATCTTGCTCATACGCATAAACTACTACAGTTTATTGTCATAACGGCTTCAGGCTCCATGAGTCCTTAACTTTACGCACTCTGCTGCATCATCAGTCACACTGCACACAGTCACAATGTCACAGGGGGTAACACCGAGAGGACCCCCCATCCCACTCACGAGATCCGTTCAGGTGGATAATATCGTGAAATAATGCTGAACGAATAAATAACGTTGTTAATTAATGTCATCTCTCTGATTTTAAAGGAGTGCAGGGAAAGGAGAGTCAGTCTCCCGTTACCCTTTGCCCTGACAGGACAGATAAATTTAATTACTGCCCCCCCCCGCCCCGAAGAACCCCACCTTCGGAATGCGAGCGTGAGGTAAGCGGCTCCGAGGATACCTTTTAATCAAGAGGGATCCTGAAGCGTTCCGCTGCTTTAAATAAGACAGAAGCGGAAACCTGATCTAGAGGACCGGGCAGCGGGGGGGCGGCGTGGTGTGGAGCGGGGCGGTTAACCCAGCAGCGGGGCGACGTCCGAGAAAAACCGGACCTCAGTCTTTGGCGCTTAATTCCTTCTCTCTTTTGTGCTCCCATTCTTGCCACTTTCACTCGCAGTCAAGCAAGAGCGCAGGAAACCAAAAACCCGCTTAAATAATTACACTTTCAGTGCCGGTCGCTTCTTTTGTGGCGAGGGGGGCGGCTCGCGAATGCTTTTCAAAGCACTTTAATGGAAAGTTTCCTGAGCCGAACTGAAGCGACTGGGAAGCCGCCGTGCGCCGCACGTCGCGCGGAAAGCGCAGACCCCTGCCCCTCTCGTGACGACCCACGCGCCCACACCAGGCCAAGAGCAGGGAAGCGAAGGCAACGGCGGCGCCCTCAAGGAAAACGGCACACAAAAGCTACTAAATTTCATATTAGCTGCATATTATATAACAATTTAATATGCACTATATATGTCTACATAAATATTACACACTACCTATATGCATCGTATTATATTTAAATTGAATATTTATACAATATATATGACACCAATACACAAGACAGCTGTAGGCAAAAAGAAAGTTTGTCTTTAATAATATATACTACTAATAAAACAAGGTAGTAACACTGTCCTTCCAAACTTTAAGCCTTGTGGTGACAAGGTCTGACAGCAAATGGTTGTAACCAAGCTATGTAACCATGTAGCTGGTCGCCTTGCAATAGGTTTGTGTCTCTCTGAAAGTGGAGTGGGGTGGGGTGCAGTGGGGGGGATGATTCCTGGCCACTGCTTACCACTTGAAAAAGAGTTTTGACATCCCCATGCAGCTGGGGACAGCCCTCTCTGTTCAGGCCTGGCGCTATTTCAACCACAAAAAGACCCTGATAAAAAGACGACAAGTAGGCGAGACTCGCTTTATGTTATACCCGAGATTAAAAGCTATCAAACATCTTAAAGTGTAAAACACATTCCTTAGTGTCACACGCTGATGTGGACTTGAAAGCCAGTATAAACGGCAGCTTAGGTAACACAAATTGCATTAAAAAGGTATGTTAAATTCACTCAGCCCTTTCTTTCGATTAGCACAGCATAAAATCGTAATTGTAAGGAAATAAATTTTTTCATTTTCAGCTGTAAAAATCATTGGTTGTGTAAAATTGCTGGCAGTAATTTTTGGTAAGATAATCAGATTCTAAAACAGAATTTATTTGGTGCAGCCCTTTGTGGAATATGTATGTTAATTTTAATTATCTATCATATCTATATAAGTATTCACAAAGTGCTCACAGAAAATCTTGCAATGCTTGTTTAATTCCGTAAAAATATTACAAAATTATTAGTTTTATAAAAAAAAGTCATTACTTTATTCATTATAAACAATCAATAGTTTTAAGTAACGTATTAATTTTAAAGTAGCAATAAATTGACACCCAAATTATAGTTGTAAAACAGCTATTGAGTGAAAAAATAATTGACAAGCAATCTCACTGGGTGCTTTTCAATTAGTAATACCTTTAAAATAACATAAAACAGCAAACATTTGTGTTTAGTATCCCTTTGGGAGCCAGTGACTACGATTGTAGTTAATAGCAAAATGGCAAGAACAGAAGTGAATGAGTCAAGTCAAAAAATTATGACACAATAAAAAGAAAATGTCTGTCCAGGAGATATGTGCAGATATGTTAAACATTGCTTGTCAATGGATTTTTGCTACAAAACCAATACATTTGTGACATTTTACAGAATTAAGCAAGCTAACTTTTAAAGTTAGAATGGGACACATCAGCTTCTGCATGAGGGCACACACTGTATATTCACTAAAAATACTGCGTTATTGTTCCAGTTTTAGATTATGAGAAAGTTTTCACTTTGTCTACATAAAATCCAGAGTTCTAAAATGTGGAACATTACACATCCCTTGGGGAATGTAAGTTTGCACAGTGCATAATAGCCTTTACTGGCAGAAAACAAACCAAACATTGATACAGAAAATATTTACAGCTATAATGAAGGTTCCCTATATAAACCCTGTTTTATACCTGGCATACATATGGAAATTCTGAAGAGAAAAAATTACGAAACTAAAAAAATACAAACAGGTAAGTAATTGCCCTTTGCCAGGGAAAAAAGAATCAATTGTGCACTCAAAATAAATTGAAAAAAATAAAACAAAAAGAGACTGAGAAAAACACTCGTGGCTACGCTAGAGTGATTTAAATGGTTAGGGGTTTCTGCTAGCTAGCTATTGACATCAATTCTCACTGACCCCATCTCCCGCACTAAACTAACCACACATTTGACAACAAGTTTTGGAACCACTGCCAGCTGGTTTGTTTTTGTGTTCCCAAACGGACATCCACTATTCATCCCCTTCATTATTATGTGAAATGCTCAAAATAATCCTTACAGTAGTGCCTGTTGTAACTACACTGCTGGTGCTTTTTTATTGTTGAAGCGAACGTGTGAAATCAGCCAAGTTCATATTTGAAAATAACCGAACCAGATGCGACGCAAAGTCTGACGGCCCTGTTAATTATCTGTCTGAATAACTGACATCTTTTGCGTGTGTGTTATTGTGTAAACTTTCTGTGTATCGTTGAAATCTGTTGGCTCTCCAAGGCTGGGTGCAGCAATTGTCTGCAAGGGCTAGCTGAGAATAACAGAATCGATTATCGCGGAATATAAATGTTTCCCCGTTTTCAAAAGACCACTGAAGCTGCAGTTGAAGCATTACGTTTGACCTCTTGATTTCAGCCCCCGTCATGAGGCGACCTGGGTTTTGTTTTTAGCATCGTATACTAAGAAAAGTATTTTGCGTATTGTTTTGAACAGTCTGTTTACCGAGGGGACTTCTGAGGAGTCGTTAGCAATGCAAGCCGCAGTTTACTATACGTTACCCATGGATACGAATGCAAAAAAACAGCAGTGTCCCTCCAAAGCATTCACAGGACATATGGCACACTGCAGATCTGAGATCTTGCTGCCCCACTGCGTGCTTTTTTCTTTTTTTCTTATTTAGCTTGACGATTCTATAAATGGCTGCCTGGCGGTATTTAAAAAGTGTCTGAAAACTTTTTGCGAAACACATTTAGACGCAGCAGGTCGGTGTCGGAGCCATCTCAATACCAACAGAATGATAAGAATAACAAATTCTGATACAGAAGGCCACCCGGATATTAGAAGATGCTAGGAGAGGCCGGGGTCCGACACAGTAAATGCATGCTGGCGGATGTCTTTGATGCTACTCTGCAACAAGTTTAAGGATGTTTGAAATAAAGCACGTAAATTAAAGTAATTGCAAACGAAACTGATCAGGACCTCAGGATTAAGCTGGCAGACACAATTTTCTTTTTGAGAATCCCTCTTTTGTATTTCACCACCGACGAGCAAATTCGAAGAAAAAGACTATAATTTATTTGCATGTATCTACAAGTAATTATAATAGGGATAATTAGCGTTCTGTGCAAGGACAGCGACCTGCGTGGGTGCGGACTCCCGGCGAACGGGCCAGGAGGAAGCCAGGGCAGGCGTGCCACCGTGGGGCACCTGGCATCGCTACGTCCCCCTTCCCTCAGCTACTGCCCCGGCGACCGCAGAGCGAAACAAAGGACCTGCTGCCGGGGGGGTGGGGGGGGGGAGGAAAAAAAAGTTTGTGTCTGGATACGAAAAAGCAGAGCAGACTCTTTTTGTTTTCCTTTCAGAGAGCCGTGCCAACCCAGGCCGCACGTTCACGCCAAAAACGTGCTGGGAAGTTTTTATTTTTATAAAAAAAAAAAAAAAACACCAGATCTTTTTTTAGGACCCGGCTTTCTGCACTTGACCAAGCTTACAGCACCGTGTGTGAGTGTATTTTTTTTATCCCTTGCCACGTCCAAAAAATGTCATTATGAGAATTTCTCTCTCTGGGCTGAACCGGAGGAAAGGGACACCTTCCTCCCCAAAAGAAGCTCTCTTTCTGAGTTGGAGTTCGTGTCGACTGCCGTAATTCGAACCCCTGCCGGCCAAAACGAGTGAAAACGTCATCGTGCCCCAGCGCAAGGTGTTGGGGGGGGGGGGGGGGGGGGGGGGGCAACGGGGAAACACGACAGGTAAGTGGATCGGGAAGAAGGAGCAGAAATGATGAGGACTTACCAGTATGTACGAAGTAGGCCAAGTACAGGTCGAGCTCCTTTACGGAAACTCCTATGTGGTGAGGCTGCACGCACAGCCCCGGGTTCGAGCACTGCGGCGACTTAACCAGGCGCTCTCCATCAGTACTTTCGAGGGGAATACCTTTGAACAAAATCACCATGACCAGGTCCAGCCTCCACACCTTGTCGGCCTGCCGCAGGCAGTCGATCCGACGCATCTTGCCCTTCTGGTCGGGGTTGGAGAGCACGCAGCACGGCGGCTTTTTGCCCGTGACGGTCAGCACGAAATCCTCGCGGAACTCGGGCCGGATGTCCTTGCGCAGCTTGGCCAGCAGCCGGGACGCCCACTTCTGCTTGACCTCGGGCTTCTCACTGAGGAGCTCGTCCTTGACCGCGCGCTCCTCGTCCTTGGACATGCGCTTCTCGTGCTTCTTGAAGTATTTCCTCTTGCGGGCCTGCAGGTTGAACCAGGTGTAGGCGAAGGCGCGCACATGCGGCAGGAGGGCCTCGATGAACGGATGGAACTCATCCTGCGACCGTGGGGGTGGCAGGAGGTGGGGGATAAAGGGAGGGACAGAACAGAGCCACAGAAAGGGATTAATTTTTCAATAATCACCCACTTAAAGTATATATACTTAAAAAATGAATGTCAGACATTTTGAAAATTGCAGAATCACACCTGAAACATTTTTTTTAACATCGTTTTTAAAATTTCAAGCAGAAATAACAGGTATTTTAATGAATCTATACTCATAACTTCTTAATCGCACATTATTAATACCAGTCGATTCAATGAAGCAGATTTAAACGCAGTCATTGATAAACATTTATCAGCGCTAGGTCTGAGATATTTTACCCTGTGACGTTACCCAAGGAAACATAAAGCGGAGTGTGAAGTGCTGCACTTCTAGGCCAGCGCTTGGCTATCTGGCAGGAATGCTAGTCCGCAGAACGGGGATGGGGGTTCGGGGGGTGGGGGTCTGCCAAGATAGAGGATGTAATAACAGGCTGGGCGCTGTGTCTATTTTTATGTTTTCATAGGCAGACATGCAGCACACAGCCGTTCTATTTGTGGCCTGTGCCTCGCTGACTGGCCCGTCTGTTGACGTCGGGCCTGAGGAGCAGACGGATGGTGGTCTGAGGGCCCCGTGCCTGATTCTGCCGTTGCCACGTCACCCCGTGATCACCTGCCATACCAGAACCCCCCCTCCCCGCCTTACGGCTTGGCGGCCACACGTGGGCGGGATCTGAACCCCGAGCGGTTCCAGGCATCTTAACTGTAAACACGCTGTCGATTTCCCCCCCATCTCAAAAAATTCATGAAAATATAAACAAAGCCTTGATACAGATTCATGTACAAACAAACAAACCAATGCAGGTCTATATAAAACCGCTCACAAACACAAATGATAGGATATTTATGTAATTATTAGAAGCCACAGACCCCTAAAAATATATGCAGTAAGTTTAGGTCCCCTGAAGGAGCGCTAATTAGCCGTAGCTTCCCCAACAACAGACCATACTGCGGGGAGTGCATGAATGAAGGCGATGAACAAATATGCTGCCTTTCATTGGATGAGAGCACAGGCTAAACAGCACAAAGCACCCGAAATGTGTGCCCACGGTGCCACTCCAAAATATGCAAACCGAGCCCCTGGCAAGGGGCGGCAATGTGGGCTATGGTGGCAACACTGTAGCACGGCACCTAAACTTGTACTCTGACGTTTTGGGGCACAAACACAAGCCACACAAGTGGTTGGGCGTCTTGGACACACAGATTGCATGAACAGGCCTGGTTCTCGAAAAGAACACAAACGTGAAAAAATAATAATAGTAATAATACTTATAACGAAATTGGAGGCATTCAATAATACATAAACTGGGGATTTCTGTGGATCTCTTCCCATGTTATTCAACATTTGGGTTCCACCTTCTCTTTCTGCTTCTTTTTTTCCTGGTTTTCTCTTCCCACCGTTCTCTGTCTGCGCACTCTGCAAACGATCCTTCCCAGGACGCCTCGTGCAACACACCACAGCTGCGTGACATTAAAAAATAACCCCGGTATATACTAAAAAGGACCTGCGCTCATTTATACCACTGGGTAACTTCTAGAGTCAAAAGTAGCTTTCAACTTCTGGATGGGCCTTGTGTAAAAAATATTAAGCGAGAAATTAACAATTCCGTGTTTTCATTTATCATTGTCTTTCATAATTTTTTCATAAACCTAATACATTCAAGTATTATAATACATAATTACCGGTAGATGATGTACTAACGCTTAGAAGTTATCAGCACAAAACACAGTGCCGGCCACAGAATGGGATTTTAAATCCGGTTCGTTATCCCAAGCGCTGTGGTGGGAAATGTTCATTTGGAAGCAGCAGGAGGAACATTTTGCAGGCCAGCGTCTCCCTATAGCACCAGGCCTCAAAAAAGCAACCAGCAAAATCACTCCCTCTCAGATTGTATACACCACTGACAGACCCTGTAACACAGACTGACACAGAATAAGATCCATCCATCCATTTTTCATACTTGCTGTAGGGTAGCAGCGATAAGAATTTTAATTCAGGTGTAAATTCTAAAAAAACAACTTTGGCTTCTAATGTTACGATTTCCCACTTCTGGAGATCTGACTACAATCACACAAAAATACATGTTTTTGAGTCATGACCGATGGCCGATGGTCACTGGCCTGGCAGCCCACACACTGAATTTTGTCCAAATCCTGTGGCACCACATCCCAGGCCGTCCGCAGTACAAGCAACCTGCCACAAGCGCCTAGTAGCCCAGAGAACGGTCAGACCATTAATCTAACTTGGTGTGACCACATACACTTCTGTAGTAATAGTGGAACATAAATTCAAATGAACTAAACTGTAAATCACCAAGAGCTAAATGGATCTGATGGGTACACACCTACTAAAATATATTGATTTCAACTTGAGGTTTTTATTAGCTGAATGCAAAATAAATGCCTTCCAGTCATACATAGGCTAGGCATAGGTCTTACAGTGCTGGATTTTTCAAATGTACTGAGGTTTCTGGGGTATCGTGATCTGGCAGCTCAAGGCAGCTACCGCATCCGCGCAAAACGTAGACCATCAACGCACTGCTCGCAGTCATTAATGCAATTGCATCAATTTAATCAAACAGAGACCTTCACTTCAATCAAGATCCGAGCAGCCAGCGCAGTAAAATTTCTCTGTAGCTCTCCTGCAGACTTTGCGTCTTGCTGCTTTACCAGTGTTTCATGTCTCGAAAACGCTGCATCATTTTCAGCGACATTTTTCTGAATGATTTTAATGGTCAAGGGTGCGTCAGCGCAGAAGGCCGAGGCCTAAGCCCCCAGAGCCTGGATCTGCTGCCCCCCACCCCCCATCTTGGGTCAGGTGGGGCACCACCAGTTGGTCACGTGCAGTCCGGCCTGCAAGATTAACGTCTATGTGCGAACTCTGCAGCACATCTTGACGGCATCTGCGCCGGTGGCAAACACCACCTTCCTCGAGACCCTCCATAAACAGCTGTAACTGTTAAACACCAGTGACAGTGGGCCCCCTTTCGCTGACACGCTCTGCGACACACAGGGCTAACTAAACAGGCGACCCCCCCCGTGCTGTAGTATTTACACAGAAACAGACCGATGTAGGGGAGAGAGCTGACAGCCAACTCAGATCAAGAACTTTTAAATGAGACGTATTATAAACATACCGGCAGACTCCTGGGTGTTTTGTGTGTCACTGACTGCTGGCTGTGCAAATGCCAGGCGGACTTTTTTTTTGGCCAAAGAAAAAGTGTCTTGTAGACCCAGAGAGGCTGTTAAAACATTCCCCCTGCCCAGCGCCCACCGTCGCCGCGGCCAGCACGCTTCCAGACGCTGAGCCTTTGACTGCTGCTTTCACGTCACATGGGCCTTTGTGAGGAATAATCAAGTCGTCACCGGAATATTCCATGCGGCTCCCGCAACACAAACCGTAAAAAGATAAATCCCCTTTTTTTTAAGGAAAAAAGGGAAAATGTTTTAACAGACATCTGACAAGTAGTACAATGTGTGTCCAGCGTTGTGTTTTACAAAGCGGCTGCTTCAGCTCTTGTCTTAAACACTCTGCTGTCAAGCTGACTTTCAAATTCGACCAGATACACAAAACATTTTTTCAACAATCACCCTGCAACAGCTGCAGATTGAAATTATTTTAATTGATTAAAAAAAGCCACCTTAGTAGTCATATATATTGAGGGCCTACCACAGGGTTAAATATTAGACCATTCTGTAAACAATGTACAGAGAACCTACATTCTGCTCAGTCCTTGAGTTTATAACCTAAAAAATTGTAAATGTGCTGGGACTTGCAATGCAATATGAATACTTTTATTAACGATTTTAGCAAAAACTTTCTGGCAATACAGATTAATGTTTTGGAAGCAGACACTCCTCTGGTGCTGATTTAGTTCAAAATATCTTATTTTTTAAATAGCGCTACCTTTACAATAAGTCATATTCTAAATCTTAGGATAAGCGGGGTAATAAAAAAGCCACAACCGTCAATATTTGATCAATGAGTAAGTTATACTACCATTTTCCAAATATTTTAATCACAGTCATCTTTCTTTGGCAGCTTTTTTAAGCAGCCTATTGTCTGTTGTATTGATGTTTTCTTTTGGGGACATTTACACAAATTCTTTTAACTTATAGGCAACAGATAATTTCTAAAATGTAATATTGGATTGATCTATATTTAGAACAAAGTGAATGCTCACTTTTGACTTAGAGTAAGTTAACCACTGAACAATGCAAAGAACCAGACCTATGGTCAGATTACAAACTATGAAAAAAGCCGTAATTTTATCTACATAAAACGAATGCTTTATTAATTCATTTAATTATCTGTAATAACACTTCAGTTGTGAAGTAGTAATTTCTTGGTTTACATAACACCAGTGAGCAAGTTAATGTAAACAGCATAAACTATTCTCAAAAATGAGTTTTGCAAGAGTTATTGTTCTATTTTATTCTTATTTCACAAACACCCCTGACCCGCTCCAAAATATGCGGTTGGGAGATGAAGGGATAGATTTTACAAACAGGCCAAAGTGTATTTGTATTGCGACAATGACCAGCTTAATTATACAAGGTTTATATATCAAACGCATATTTGACCCGCGCTGTGTGATCCGATACAGTCCCTGGGATGCAACATTACTAATAATAAACTGAAGTCGTTTTTGGTAATATAATTTATTTATTAAAGCGGGGCTGCGTGTGTGGTAACCTCAGCTAACCTCCGGACTTGACGGTGCACAGGGGCAGCCGGACACAGGGGCCGGACACCGGCTACCTCTACTTGTACGGCGCGTCCCTTTAGCGCTTGTCGCGTCGGCTATGATTTATTTTCGCGTCCTCAAACTTCGTGAAGGTTTTTAAATAAACAAAACACGACAGGTCTTAAGCAAACAAACGTACTGAAAATTAAGATGTACTCAGCAGTCGTTATTTTGCTAAAAGGCCTTTGACATTGACAACAACGGTGGTGTTAAAATAAACTTTTATCAACATAGTGGCTATTCTTTTTCTCCATAATAATGATTAAACATGGAGCAGTTTGGCACAGAATCTCGTACGGTACAATTATACTTTCCTAAAAGCACTTTTAATGCCAAAAATCAACGAGATTTGATTTAGGAAAAATCGACTTCGATGGTGCGCATTTACATTTTGAACAGATTACCGCTAGATCCTTGACCACATCTAGAACTAATGTAATCCCACTTATACGGAAAGCATTTGCATAGTGTAACTGTTTTTAAAATACACTTTGGTTACGGCTTATTTCCCATATACGTGAGGCTTACCACTTGCTAGCCCCTTGAGGACTACGTTATCCAGGAAAAGCAGTAACATTTTAAGTAAGCTTTACATTATTACAACTTGCACCGTGCCCGGACAAGTCGGCAAAACGTGTTGAAAACTGCAGTGTTTTAATTTTACAGGAACCGCAGATAAGTCGATTTAATACCGGGTTGAAGTGGAAAACCACAAGACTCACACTACAGAATTACAAACCCTTCAAAAACTTAAATATTAAACGTTACGTGATGAAAGGCTGAATTATAGACTATTACACTGAACTTAACATTTTTTAACAACTTTATCACCTCGCCAACTGTTACTGCTTAATTGACTCTTTACCGTCTTAGATAGTAAATACCATATATTTCCCAGGATAGTCATCTAAGTCAATACCATCTGATATCGGACATTATACAGCAGAAACTAAAATTCAATGCACAAATCCGTTTGTGCTTATGCATGGGACTCAGACTACGCCGCCCGCCATGTGGTAGTCGGCACGGATGGCTCTGTCAGCCCAGCAATGCATATTGCAAAGTTACTTCTTGTGTTAAGCAACGCTTTAGTCCACATAAGCGCTGTCCCGCCCCGGGTAGGGAAACATTCCAAATGCAGCACATTTAGTTAATTACAGAGTAAAGGCTCACTTACCTGCGTTAGACATAACGGGGAGTACATGTCTCCTGTGTTCTGCTTGTATTGTTATTGTGTCTATAGCTGTTTTTTTTTTCGTGTTATGTAGCCTGTGTTAAGTGATGTGTGTGGGTGAATGCGTGTAAGTGTATATGTTAAGTGTGTATGTGTGCGTGTGTGAAAAGAAAAAAAGGAGAGAGAGAGAAGGGAGAGAGGGAAAAAAATCAAGCCTGCTTCTTGCTTTCACATTTCCAACTCTGCGAAGTGCAAGCAGCGCTCCGCCGCTCCATAGATCTGAACTTTAACCCCGCCTCGAGTTACACGGCTCACATCTACTGTACTCAGCTGTTAAAGCAGCGGATGGGTCCCCTTCGCCGGGGTGCGCCTAACTTTCACCAGGGGCATGATCGACAACCGAGTAATGTCCCGAAGCGAAGCCCGCAGATCTGCGGAATAAAAAAACCGAAGTGCGAAGAATCGGCAGCCGCCGAGATCGGATAGTCTATAATAAACACGCAGGAACGGCAAAAAAAAAGATATATCGATCAGTTAATCACTTCACGATGCAAGTCTCCCGTTTTGCGTTTAAACTGCACTGCGCTTCTTCGTGGAGGCAAACCGGACGTTTTTTTTTAAAGCGGCGAGCATTTGCAGGCATGTGGACAGCTTTACGGCGAGAGCAACTCCGCACCGAGTCCGTCGGCTTTAGGGCGAATTAAAGCGGCGAGAGGAAATTTAAGCCAGTAGTAGCATCCGAAAGAGGCAAGCGTGCTTAATTGCAAAAACCAATTACTGTTTTATTTTTAGTTATATTTTCCAAATGGTGCAGAAGCTAAATAGAAATCCCGGATTCGTGTCTGTCCAAAGCACGGCGACGATAAACCAGTCTTCTTCACTGTGTCCGACCCTAGCTAAACAGTTCACTTTTATCCACGGCGCCAAGAGGAAAAAAAAACTCAGCTTCTTCTAGTCTACATGCTTATGGTCTGTGAGATCCAAAGTAGAAATCAAAAAGCCGATAATAGCATTCTTTATATGTGGTGAGAAATTTTGAAAACATCGTCAAGTGCTGTCCCGAGAGAAATATCCAGCATAAAAGATATAACCTTAAGGAATATTACAATCTAAGTTAATAATCAGATTTCATTTCGTCGCAAAACAATTCAGCATGTGAATCCAAAAGTTGAAGGTTTACAAGTAGGGTGTACAGCGCTCCAGTCACAAGCCCGGGCGTCTCTGCCCCGTCACGTAATGGCTTTTTCCAGCCGGAGCGCTATGCGAGACCCTTTTTAAAGCAGTTCGCGAAGTATCAGCAGCCTCGTACAGCACGTCTGTCCAGCAACAGGGCAAAATAAAAATTTATACGAAATGGAAAACACAAAAACGAGAGTGTATGAGGAGGAAGAGAGGGATACAGACACAGCGTGAGCAAGCAGCTTACACACTTGATAGGGAATATACCGCCCCTTTGGTACAAATGCTTAACTTTCTATTATTAGGCTGCGTCTAAACAAGCTATTGCCTTTTCAGTGCTATTTTCTTTGCAGTATCAGCTAAGTATGATGCATTGGTTTATACTCTGTCATGTCTTACACACGTGGAATTTATTGCTGGTTGTATTTAAAAGCATGTCGAAGACGCAACAGCACTTAACATATCAGCTGCTGTTATCCAGAATGATGTTTTCATATTTACTGTAGAAAAATAAGTGCAATCTCCGTGACACCCATACCCAACTCAACGATTTCCAATACCGTGAGGAAATACGTTACACGATGACAATAAACACTGAAAAGAGAAGTGTTATGATTCAACTTCAGAAGAACAGATATAATCCCATAAGAAAATGACAAAAAATATGAATAATTAATAAAATATAAATAATAGTAATAATATGATGTAAAGCCTGAGATATGCCACCGTTATAACTTCTTCACCAAACGATGACATGCATTTTCCAGAGTTCTATCCTTTTTATCTCTCGAGTTTCTATATATGTTGTTGACTGCAGCAGGTTTGTCGTCGCAATACGTCGTGAAGAATATGCAAAATAAAATATTAATAGTAGGCCTACCCTTTATCGACTTTTATAGTTTCATATGTTTGTATTACTGTAATGATAATATGAGGTGTTATTCCAGAAAGTATCACACATCCGCATTTGCTTAAATATACATACACACTATTGGGCAGTAATATTTCATTAAGCCCACGAATATCTGAACTATATCAAGGTGATTATAACTTTGCTAAAATGAGGAAAATGTGTTAAGTATTTTTAGTTGAATTTTCCGGCGATATTCGAAAAAAGAAATGTGTTCATTATGAACAATTTGCACTGAGCTTTAGTTTAATCTTGAACAACTGTTAGCTCTTAGCAAGAACGTGAGAGGTGAATGGAAGTCAATTGTGCGCCCTCTAGAAAATGGTCGGAGAAGTAAACTCCGCGGTAGCACCGTTAAGTATTCCTTTGTACGCCCTGAACCTCGGCTGTACTACCAGCCCAGTCTCCCTTTGATGTAAGAGGAATATGCAATGCCTCTGACAGAACCTGTATTTTGAACATAAGCTGCTAATATTAAAATTACTATTGAGAATAATAATTCTGATTTTCACATGTAGACCTCATTCAAACTGATGAACGACCGTTTTCCAATAATTTAAATCCATGTTCAAGTAGTGTAATGTAAGCTAAAAGTATTTGAATAAGTAAAATTTTAAAACAGTCCTGTGAAATTTTGCTAGAAATTTGTTTTTTCATTAAGCTGGACGAAACATGATGGAATTCAATATATTGGAATATATGTTTCAATGTTTTGGATTCACATAATTTAACGTTTGTGGAAATCAACTACACAACGTTTTAATGTTGATATAAACAATGAACAGCGTGTTTATTTAACTATGGCAGCGTATACGCTGATGTTCGTATAGGCTATGTATAAATTATTCATATAAATTAAATTAAAGCCTAAATTAAAATAAATTGCAACTGATAATGTGCAAAATCGTTCAGACAGAATGAATTACATTTGAGAAGTACCAAAATATCACTAAGTATTAAAGGGATCGATTAATTTCTAAATTAAATAGTTAAATGGGCACAATAATTGTTTGACAAAATAACCTGGCCGATATGCTACGTTGATTAACAAAATAGACAATGAAGAATAAAAAACCCTGCTATTCCAACTTCGAGAGAAGTTCCTGTATTTTGACAGGCTGCACCACAGGACACATTCTGTGTAGTTCGTTTAACCTGCTACAGATATCGGCCCACCCCCTTCGCGGGTCCGTGGGTCTGTGTCAGTGCGTTCGGGGAAAAATACGCGTGTATCTGATTGGTCAATGCTCCGGCATTTAAAGCCAAATGGCTATCTGATTGGACGAAATGCATGTCAATAAAGCCGTCCCCAGAGGTAGCGTCAACTCTCCGTATTGCTAGGTTGACTGGTATCGCCGGACGCCCTGCAGAACTAGCTTGTAGCCTTGTGTTATTTTCGGGCCGGAGCCCGGTAATTTTCCATCTTGTCCACAATGCTAGGATTTCCGTTGGACTGCTAACGGCATTGCCGTTCGTCCTCCCTAAGTAAGCTTGTTGAAATTATAAGGAAAAAAAATGCTACAGAAGCTGCATCACTAACACTAGCTTCCTTGCTAAATAATAGACATCACACTGTTACGGACCGTAGCGCAGCCTTCCAGACGCGTCTGACAGAAACACATTTCATTTCGTTCCTTAGCTTTTAAAAAGGAACCATTTGCATTTTTAAGTAGATTGCACTTAAATCAAAAGATGAACGGTTCATTCGCAAATTCGCACGTACCATCGCCATGCAACGTGTACACGAGAAACTTTAAAATGTTGAGACGAAGTGCTTCATTTTTCAGCCACGTTTGTTGCTTAATTTTTTTAAGGTGAAAAACTTGCTGCCGTTGTTTTAACAGGTTAAACGAGTCCAAAAGCGTAAAAAGAAAGGAGGAAATAGGCTATAAGCTGAATAATTGCTCCTGATCGTACTGTTTTAATCCCAAATAGGAAAAAGGCAATAAGACATTTCTTTCCTCCTCGATTTTTGACAGCGATCCAAGCTTGGCAAAGCCGGCTGGCTCGCAAGACACACTCTAGCTGTCTTTGCTCGGTTTGTTACACTTTGTGCAGAAGTTGTAATCGATTCAGCGAGTCCCCCCTTGTTTATTTCCGCAATCGCTGCTATTTGCATAGTAACCACGCAGCACCCAAGCGGCAAAGGCACACCGCTTCTCTCTCTCTCGCCATCTCTTCCCCACCCAAACCGTACTGGCAAATCACAGCTAGTAGAGGCGCCTGCCAGCAGCGATCGAGTCCGCTTGTCGCTCCAGTGCTGGAAACTGAAGTTTTTTCTCTCCCGTACATATTGCTGCAGAACCGCTGCGTACTCCGTCCATGTGCATCGCGCTGTAGGAGAGAAGGGGCTAAGGGGCATTCTTGTGTGCGATTTTAAAAAACGTAAAAATTGCAAATTAGATAAGGATCATGCATCGGAAGTGACTTTTATCGTAAAAAGCAACATTTAACCCTATAACGGTAGTCGTTGCTTCTGTCATGTTTTCTTACGTTTTCGCATTACGGGTGGTGCAAGATTCGGCGGTTTCGGAGAGAAACGCGAAATGTCCGCAGCGATTTTTGCCTACATATTTCCAGACACAGCAGAGACCGCTCGTATGAGTTTACTCTGAATGAAAACATGCTCATTTCATTCACAGTGTCAAGGAGGCTACCGAGTCATACTGAATGCGCGTTTGCATAAATGCTACATGTTTATTTATGTCTGCAGGCGATGGATGCTGCCAGACTCGTGCAGTAGCTAAATATTTCGGAATGGGAACCGCACTGGGATGGAGTTGCGCCATGTTATCGTGCCCTTGTGGCTGACTGCTGCATGTTTTCCATGCGTTAATTGGAGAGCTCTGCTACACAACATACTGCTCAATACTGGACAAGCAACGTGTAAGATGTGCAAAAGGAAAAATATTTAGAAACTTTATTATATAAATTTATTTATTACCAACTCTTTATAACGCATGGCTTCCAGTAGAGTAGTTTATATGTCGGCAACTTCCACGTGACAAAGTAAATATATTCTGTCGTCATTGTTAATTAATTGATTTTGGGAAATAAATGGAATAGATTTATATATACAGCTAAGAACACTTCCCCCATTATAATCTTACTTAAACGACTTAAAATGCAAAACTTTTACTCATGGCAATTAAATAACGTCATTCGTAGGACTGGCATGTATAGTTATGAGCTCAGAATATTCTAGCTAAATTTAAACACCCTCTTCTGTTCCGTTAATACCGTGTTTTAACATGAAAAGTGGGTGGCCTTTCGCTTTGAATTCGATGTTTCACTTTGATTATAAGTTAATAATTGGACCACTATTAATTATTCATGAAATTCCACTGCAAATACGGAATATGACATCTCAAATCACAACAATAAGTAAAACGTAAGTTGGGTTTAATTTTATCCATAGCTGCCAGGTGGTCAAAAACTTATTTTCCACAAATCAGAAAAAACAAAGTTTCATTTACCTTAATTTTAGATTTAGCTAAATGAAAATACGACAAACGGTAAAATAACCCAAAAGAATTTAAAGTAACATAAGAAAACAGTGCGTTGTTCTAAGACAAGCCCGAAGTTCTTTTTAAATCGCTTTAGTCGTTACACTGGTGTGATCCAGAACTCGCTTTTATAATCCAAAGCTGAACGCGCTCCTGGCTGTTTACTTAGCAGCCTATGATTGCATCCTCCGTCAGGATAATGAAGTCTGAGTGACATCTGAGATAGTTTTGGATGAAATGCACCTCCTCTTCTCCAGCTGGCCTTAAAAAGAACACGCATTAACATGCATGCCAGAGATAGTAGTACTAAAAGGGCTCGTGAGATAATTTGACAGTGGTTTCAAATTCGGGACTTTTTCATAAAACATTACAAAAGCTTTATATTGAACTCCACTTGTTTTAAAAGAAATGATAATTAAACCTTGAGTTAAACTGGAATACTGAAAATTGTTAATCATATACTATAAATCAAAGGCATTTAAATTATAAGGTATATTTAAAACATCCAGCAGACATTCTAAGTTTGCAAATGAAACTGAATGCAAATACTTCCTTTATACAAATATGCTTCAAAGAGAAGCTCAAGTCAGAACTGATATATGATTTATATTTTGGCTGCTGATATAAATTCAAGACCATTGATATGTTGTGCTTTTGTATTGCACATTTTCTTTTCTTTAACGATCTTAGTGTAGTGACGAAGATAAAGCTGCTGTCTAGGTTATCATGCCAAGGCAACACGTTTTAACTGTAGCATCCTCTTCATGCAGTAGTGAGGTCCATACAGCGACTCATGTTGGCTGCCCTAGGATGTGCCTGTAC